AAAAAAAAAAAAAAAAAAAAAAAAAAAAAAAAATACCAATAAAATTAAGCAAAACGCAAGTTGCAGTATTTTAGAACATCAAATGTATTACCATTGTGGGCTGACATTTCTCTTCACTCTTTGTTTGCTTTTTTTTTTTAAAGCGTATTGCAGAAACGTATCAGATTGTGCAGCAAAATGAAAATGGGAGATTTCGTGGGAAATATCTTAAGAATTAACACATCTCTTACAACAACTGTTGCTGCTGTCATTACCATTTCTACTCTTTGCCAAAATGACATCAGAAGATTATACTAAAAACAAATAGAAATGAAAGAAAATGGGGTAACGTAAGTAATAATAACAACAGCCCAATAACCACACTGCTTTCTGTCCTTTTTGCTTAGCGTTTATTGCTTTTGAATCATTCAAAAAGAAAGTAAGGGAAAGAACAGAAGTGAATATTGAAGCAAGTCTCGTTTACTGTCACTGTTAAAACCAAGAATGTTACACATGAACAACACAAACTGTTTGCAAAAACTTTCAGAGAAAAAAAAAAGGACTGAAGAAAGAACAGATCAACAAACGCAGAGACATATATATTTATTCATTTATCCGTCTTTCCTTTTTTTTTGTTTGCCTTATCATATTGTTGAGAAAAATGCAGGAAATAAAAATGAAGAAATAAAAATAGGAGATTCATGAACTATATTTGAAACGAAAGAATGGTAGAGAAAAAAGTGAAAGAAAGCAAGTTTAAATACTCTTCCCTATGCCCAATCATACCAGGGCAAAAAAACCACTACTTTTAGCAGCACAAAAATAAACCGTTAATTATTGAAATGTCGAATGTATATAGCACACAACCTTAACCATAAACTACACTGTGTCAGTTTACCTAAGCATAAAATGAATCTTTTTTTTTTTTTTTTACTTCAAACCGTCCAGAAAAACTGTTAAGAGCAGGCAAAAATGAAACTGATAAAAAGTATCAGAACCTTCTGACGATAAACAAAGCTTCAGACAATAAAAAAAAAAAGTAAAAGTGAGAATCCGATTTGATTACCATTCGTTAGCCTTCGGGTAACCCAACAAAAACGACAGATAGCATTCGACAGGACAACGTTCAAAGCGAAAGAAAAAGAGGAAAAAACATCAATAAAAAAAAAAAGGTGAATTGCCTATAGATATTAATTAAAAGAATCATCAATCAAAATCAAATTAGCAGAATCTTCAAAAATTTACCAAATACATTTTAACAGCAACCTTCTTCCTACTTTTTCTTTCCTTCTTCTCCTGTCTGTTCTGCCTTTACTTTTTTCCCCAAAATATACAACCACAGCAAACACACAAAGTACACAGTTCTAAGCAACATAAATTTTAAAAATTCTTTCAACGTCCTCAATTCCGCATATCTTGGCAAAAAATTTTTTGAGATTCCCCTCAATCATTCCTCACCACCTCTCCCCATATCTTCTTCCCTCTCCCACCGAACTGCATTCTTTGTGTCAAATAAATAGAAAACTTTTTACATCTAATTGTTGATCACAAGATTATCACAATAAGCTAAACAGTTGACAGAGTAGTGAACATACTTCACACAAATTATCAAAAAAATTTTTGATCATGCATGCTTCTCCATCAAACCTTCCCGTATTCCACGCGACTTCTATGAGAGCAATTTCATGAACAATCGAAAATTCTAAACAAGAGTTAAGGAAGTATGCTCACACACAACAATAAACATTACAAAAACAATCGACGAACACCGTCTTGAGATACCAAGCACCTACAATTACTAAGTCTGAAAAAAAAAGACGAATAAGAACTTGAAAACATTCTGAATGATGACTTGAACAATCGGCATAAAAAGCAACAATGTATGCAACATGTTTTGAAAAGACCAAAAATAAGATATATTACACAGCATAATCTTAAAAACAAATTCAAGCAAAATCACTTTCAGTAGCCGTTCATTTCAGCTTATAAAGCTTAGAGGAACGAAAATGTAAAGTACACATATAAGAAATCTTCAAGAGGAAAGACTTCAATTCATATGCCTAAGTTAGTAATAAAACTATATTAAAATTTACTAGGTATATAAAGTAAATTTGGAAATCTGGGTCACAGAGTATAAGTAAAGCATATGAAAATAATAACAAAATAAAGAAAACTCATTTTTCTAGTAAAAAAATACCCGGGTCTTCATATATAAACAAAATCGCAACATGCTGAACTGAAGCATCGTCAGACTAAACCTTTCATAAGAGCAATATCAGAGTAATCTGTGAAATAAACTACATCACAAGACAGAACCAGCTTCAAAATCATCAAGTACTGAGTGGAATGAAACAATTTATTAATAAACACCGACTCTCACAATTATAATTGTATAATTTTAAGCATCAAAAAATAATTTTCTCTGAAGGATATAATATACAAAAATTCTAGATGCTGCTTTCATCGTAACCTACTATTAACCTTGGAAACGAAATCTTTTAAAATAATTGGTTTTGAAAACGGCCAATCCCATTCATTGGCCAAAGGACCGTCCGGCACATCTTTTTCAAACCACCAACATAGATAGTACCACCATAACTTAGAAAGAGGCGCATCACTACGTTGGCTACTAAAATTTAGGCGTTATTTAATAAGACTATCAAAATAAATAATGCAAAAGTTATTTTTAAATAACTTGGCGAACAGAAATTATGGTGTTATAAAAATCACGTGATTGAGCTTTGAAAATCAATTCGTTTTATTCATACAAAAAATACCAATAAAAAGATAAGCTTCAGACCTAAATTGAAAAACATTAAAAGACCAGTATTGATTACCTTGGTGTTTCAAAAATTTGATGATAAGCATAAAATATATGACTGGTTAACCAGTAAGCTATTAAAACGTCCATGGTATAATGGCCACCCGAAACTACCAGTGCTGCTACACCAAAGATTAATATTGGAGCCGCTAGCCAGCTGAAATGGTGTTAATTAAACCTTCCGCCAAAAAAAAAATTTATTTAAAGTTATCTAAAACCAAGATATACGACTCAAACGATTTAAAAAAATTTATGAAATTAAGGAAAGAGAAATTTTTACC